CTGAAAAGAACCGGTAGACTTTAAAGAAAGAAATGGATGACTGCAACTCACAACCTCAATCGGCTTTGTTTCCTTGAACTTAAGAATGCTGATTTTGAACAAATCGAACATTCTCTTTTCATATAAGAATGTTGTTTTTCCGGCCCAGGCTTAATTTTCTTATTTTTCTGTCGATTCTAGGCAAGTGTTCTTGCTGTTTAGTCAGACTGCCGTTTAGTGAAGGGAATAATTTTATGCAAGTAAGCTAAAAACATAAATTGTATTGTATTTATAGATTTTCAAACACAAAATTAATTCCTTTTCAGACTCTCAGCCTCGGTTTTTTTCCCAAAATATTCTTAAAATTTCCCAAATTTTAGCCTCGATATTCTCATAAAATATATTCTTATAGAAAAAAAAAAAGAGTGTATCAAGAATTTGTACAAAGGAAACAATTAGCCCTTGCCATGGCTATAAATAAAGTGCCATCGTTTAAGAAAACTTTTTAACATTCTCTAGCTGCTCTGATCTGTGGACTGTGCGGTTAAATTATTCACCTTCTCGTATCCTTTGTAATATTTAAAACTTGTTAATTTTTCTTTTCTTCTGCTGTAAAAACCGTTTACCATCCGTAAAATGAGAAGAATGTCCGACAATTCTCGGAGAGAGGTTGGCTAACACGAAGAACTTTCCTGTATAATATGAACACCTATCTGATATGTGCCTCTTCGCATTGGAGATCGGCGCGCCGGGCGGCGTTGCTTCGCTTCGTTACAGAAACCCGCCGAAATCGTCGTAGTTATGTGTGAACAGTAGTCCTATACTGTATGGTTTGGTGGCGGCGCCAAAGCTATCCGACATGGTGTGAACATATCCTTAGCTTAGAGTCTAAGCGCAGGTTATCAATCGGATCAAACAAATAGACACTGACAAACTGTACTACAGTAAAGCCACGTGATGGACTGAATGATACAGCGTTGCTCGTTCATTAGTGTTTTGACCTCTTTCTTCCATGGAGTAAAAAAAAGTTGCAATTGACGTTCGGGCGTGAAATAAGAAAGAAATTCTCAATGGCAATATTTCAAAACACCAAGATCTTTTTTCACGTTAATGTTTATTACCGTGAAGCGTGAAATGGGAATGTTAATTACCGTGATTCGTTATTTGTCATATTTAATAGTCATGAATTGTACGAAGGCCCCTCTAAAAGGAGTTATGCTTGTATCCAGTTTTCTTTCAAACGTGGCTTAAATTAACTTGTTCTTCTTTTTGTGGATAACTTTTATTAAAAAACTGATAAATCGTCAGTTGAACACGAAGCGAACCACAGCCGAAATCATGCATCTTTCGAAATTCGTCGGTTCGTGACTCTAGCAACTTCTTTTGATCTTTGGACTCGATCGCTTGGTGCAATTTATTTTTGAGAACTAGGCATGACTATTCATCATTTGTGCCTTTTTTTGGTCAATGAAGGGTATTCAGGGAAGGATAATTAATTTTCGGTGAATTTGGGTGTTTTTGGAAGAAAACACCGCAAAGGATTCAATTCGTAACGAGCAAGAAATTATGCAGACCCCACCAAAGATGGAAAACTCAGCCCCCTAAAAAAAAAAAAAAAAAAGAAAATCTGACTAGAAAACTCAGACAAACACCTTTAAGCGGTGTTTACCCTCACCACTCACAATTTTAATTAGCTTTAAGTATTGCTTTTGTTACAGAGCCTGGGATAATAAGGTAACTAGACCCTCAACCATGCCAAATGCACCCGGCATGACTCTATCGCCCCACATAAGAGAATCCAAGACAGTGTTGGATTCTGGATTCCACGCAATGGATTCTGGATCCAGTGACTGGATTCCGGAACTACTTGAGCTGCATTCAGGATTCCAAAGCCCAGCAATCCGGATACCACATTCAAAACTTTCACGGATTCCAAAATCCAGACTCCCTCACATGGGGTCGGTTTTAAGTCTTCTAAGGTCTCTTAGGGCCTCTCTGAGGCAATCAAACCCCAAAATGTACACGCTCATCTGGCACCCAGATCTCCCACGCATTTCCTTTTTCAGGAACTGCAACACAACCCAACGTCTGATGATGTAAAAAACAATGGAGAATTAGCGAATCACTTGACTCAGAGAATTAAAAACAATGTAACACAAGAACTCCAGAATAGCCTTTAAAAGAAGTAATAAAAGTTTTTGTATTGTATTTTATGTGTGGTGTTGCATGATATATTGCTATGCTTTATGGGAACGATTTGTAAGTCCCAGCTAGACTCTAACCAAGGGACTTTCTTGGGATTACAAAATAACTATTGGTGCTTTGACCTCCAAGTGAGTTAGTAGTTAACAGTTAGGGTTAGGAGTGGCCTCGGGTTGGGGTTTGCGCCTCAAAAAGTCACGTGACAAGTATTTTCATCCATACTGCAACGCTTCAGGGTGACTAGCTATACGCTGCTGCTTATGTTGGATTTAGAATATTTCGCTCTTAGTCTTTAATTTCAAAAGTCGCCACCCCTCTTACTTCGTGTTTTGCACCTTGGCTTAACATTTAGCTCAGCGAGGCTTGTAACAACTAGTCTCCCTATCTAAGTTCTTATCTTTTGCTTCGGTTGACACAAACCTTTCCAGTATTACTCTTACTGTAAATTATCGTTAGTTTGCAGAGTTTGCAATATCTTAATGTAAACTTACGGGCAAAAAGCAATTTTGATTAACCCTTTGAAGCCTAGCTAATACCGCGTAAAATCCTTGACGGCATGTATGCGTAAAAAAACTGTACATTCGTTACCTATTTGCTTCTTGTCTTACTTTAGTCATAACCTTTTAAACATTTATTCATAAGACTAAATGGTAGATTCTGTAATTATGAAAGCAAACAAACTAACTGCAACTCGCAATTTCCACTTTATATCGCCGTTTGTTTGGCAGCAAAGTCCAAAAAGCCAGTTTTTTGGCCGAAAATCATCCCCAAAATTTACACTTTTCGTCGTTGATTTTCTAGGCAGAAAATTGATTTCAAAATCAAAAGTCTGCATTTATACAAGGCCATAACTTGGTTTCTAGTTGGAATTCTTTTCCTTGCTATTTTCGTTGGACATCCTTTAGCCATTTTCTTAGAGCCAGTGTCGCCTTAGCCTCCCACGCAGATGTTCTTAGGGGTTCGTCACTCGTTCCTGCGTTCCTGTTAGTGCGGCAGGATCGGGTGACGAACCCCTAAGAACGTCTGCGTGGGAGGCTAGTGTCGCCTCTCTCAACTTGGCTCGTTCGTGCTCCAAAGGAATTCTGGGTGATTGAGTCATACCGTGACCGTAGAACGCTTCCTACTCCCATTTCAAAAATTAAGTGTTGGGCCACCCAATCCTAACTAGCGATTTGGTAACTTATATAGAAATATTATATAGTTCATTGAGATACTTCCATTTTTAATAATTTTTCCCTGATCCACGAGTAGCATTCATTGATGACGATGATGACTATTATTTTTAAATGCTTTTATTATAAATATTGTTATCATCATATTGTGCAAATTTAACATCTTGGTAAGAGCGAATTGTGTAGTCCTTGTGCTCTAAAATCTGTCACTCTTTCGGAAACAACTTTCGATAAGGCAATGCACACTGAGACGCTTAAAAAGCCTGTGCTGAACAGTGAATGGATAGCCAAGTAAACTAAATAATAACCTTTTATTGATAACAAAACTAACTATTAAGCTTATTTTCAGTTAGTTGCGCTGAAGAAGAAAAAATATATAATTATATACATATTCATTCAAAGCACTGTTTACAAGTAATTTCATTTCATAAGCTCCTGTTCATTTCGGTTATTAAAAAAAACTCATTTCAATTAAAAACAATTCATTTCCATTAAAAATGAAATAAAAATATTAAAAAATTCGTAAAATACTAATTTACAGGCCCACGCCGCCATCAGCCTCTAAAATCAGCGGACACAGGCTTGGCTAGCGTTTAAGCGGCAGTCATCAAGGAAATCCCCTCGTGGAATTTTGTGGAAGGGTGCCCTGGAACCTCTTAGGCATGTGTGTACCGACATTAAAATCTCAAAAGAAAGCAATGTTCCAATCCAAGTAATAGTAATGTGATAAGGTTCTTCATTCTTTTCTGAGAGCTTCTCGACTAGGCGTTTGAGAAAACAGTTGCAGTCGGCTCCCATCCTACCGTCGGTTCCAAAAACTAGGGGAGTGAAAGATCCCATTTCAACGTCCAGTACCCTCTGTTGGTACTTCCGCTTTTTCTCCTCCTCCTGCTCCTTAAAGATTGTGGGTGTTGTTTTTCTCTGGTTACATTTAAAGTTAACATGCGTTCCTCTGACATCAAAAAATGCTGGAACTCCACGAGACCAAAAGCCCCCAGTCTTGAAGTCTCGTCTTGCCTCCGGGCTTGTTACCGCGCTTCTGAGGTTCAATCGCTCATTATCGAGAGGTTGTAGCTGTGGTTAGACTTCAACGTTGGTGCAAATCTTACCAATAAGTGAGGTAAGTAGGTTGCGAACACCATCGTGTCTCTGCGCCACGAACCCTCCCTTTTTGCATGACAGGGCATGGCGGACAGTATACTTCTCACCACAAACACACTTGCTTGGTATGTCGGACAGGGGCATATTATACCTTAAACGCAGAGAGTCTCTTCAGCACCAAGCCCTGATCGACAAGAGGCACTGCGGTAAGCCATAAGCTCGCACCCTTGTCTCTCGATTGGTTAACTGACCGCAGCAGATCCGAGGGTAGTTGATTGTCATCAATGTTTTTGAAATTAATTGTCACAGAGATTTGTCGGGCTCGGGTTGCCAGGTACTCAGGTGGCATGAATGCAAATAGTTAACGGTTTATTGTTTATTGTTTTGTTTGCCAAAAATTAAACAAATCAAATAAAATCTAATTACCTTAACTCTCATGGCGAGGAAGCCCAAGAGAAGCCACCGGGCTTATAAGGAATGGGCTCCCTCAGTTAGATAATTAGAACAAAATATTATCATAATTACGGAAGACAGTAAAGCGCTTTTCTAAAACCTGTTGAGTCTTGCTTGAACGAGAGCTTTTATAGAGAAGTAATTTCCCAAAACAGAAAACGCACTTGACAATACAAGGAGTATAACATCAGCAAAAATCTCCAATCTGCTGAGTTCGTGGTACTTTACCTTTAAATGCACCAATGAAGGAATGCAAAACCCGAAAAATACGGTCTGAAAAGATCCCACAAGAGCTGCTATGAGCGCGAAGTGTGGCAGAAAAATAGCTATCGCCAGTGTGATGACTACCAACGAAACCCGAATTATAATATTACATATGGTATTGGAAATATCCGAAGTTATTTCTGAAAAAAACTTCGATTCGTCGAGAGATTCACATACAGGTCTCAAGCAAAGTATGATTGAGAGTAAGCTGCTAATAACGAGACTTATAGAAGCGGTTATGTTTAGTGGTCCAGCGGGAAAATTATTAACAATGGCTTCATCTGTCTTGGATCCAAAAGTCAAAAATCCAAAGACTGCAATAATCACTTTAATTACAACTGATACAGCAAATGCCGAAGCCAACGCTTTTCCAAAGTCCGATTTATTCTTCATACTTTTTTCTACCGAAGGAATGATCTTCGCCACGCCGTAACTAGACAAGGCAATTCCCAACGAAATGAAGACTCCTTCGAAGTCCCAAAACAAAAGTGTACCGGGATTCCACTTCTCTATATTTTCAAGGCCATACCATCCTGTTAGTGCTGTAGTTAGACCAATGGCGACTATACTAATAGTACTTAGCCATGCAATCTGGGAGTACGATTTCAAAAACATTGTTGGTAGAATAAGCAGTGCAGCGAAGCAGGTCCAGGAAGTTTGCGAGAGGGGTACTGTTGATAGGGCGTGGGAGGTGAGAGATCCACAGAGAATTAGATAATTGACTGCTATGAAAACAAAACCAATGTCTTGATTCCACGCGACAATTTTACCTGCATATTTAGGATATATTGCGTCTCCTATCTCCTTCCAAGTTGATCTTGCTCGAGTCTTTCCTTTTTTCTCGTCGCTGTCGTACAAACTCTCGGCTAACACTTTTCCCGCGTACCAGGTGATAATTGGCAGTAAAAACAGTGATATTACAGCCGTGATTCCACCCTTTTTGATAGAATACGGTAAAGCAAGCAATCCAACCCCTTCGATGTAGTTTAACAAGTTCATTGTTGCCTTCCATGTCGAGGATGTCCCCTCAGGCAGAGATGCAGCGCTTTCAGTCTTTGTATAGTTCTCACTTGAAACGCTTTCATCATCTGAAGAACTTTCGGCGTCCGAGGACTGCAGTTCCAAGACTGTTTCTTCGTCACTATCACTCACTTGTGACAGGTTGCGATAGCTTTGTTTCATTTCTTTGTTTATTGCGAAATATCTAAAAGTAAAATAGAAAAGGTGAGCAATGTTTCGTGTAAACCTTAAAGAAGCCATTTGCATAATTAACAGAATTTATGATGTATACCACAGTGGAACCAATCCTTTGGGACACCTCTATTCAAGAGACACCTCCATTCAGAGGGGACACAACATTTGGTCCCCGAAAAATGTTCACGTAATCTTTGTATTTGTTTCCTCTGGTGAAGGGACACCTCTATTCATGGGAAAAGGTCTCTTTTTCTATTCTGGATCCCAAACCTGGATTCAACCGCTTTTCCTTGTACACCTTAGCACTCAAAAGGTGACTAGCCACAAAAAGCCTTGAGAAGTTTTCAGTAATCACAATGGCGACTGCTTTTAAAACTTGAACTTATTCACTTAATAAATCGATGTACTGCACTTGGGGGACTTCAACACACAACATTGCAGTGATAAGTTAATCATGATTTTTTATACATTATCTAGCTGCTTAAAATAATGACCTCAGCGGATTCCGAGGTAAAATATACAAAAGCCCAGCCCATCCTCCATTCAGGGGACACCTCTGTTCAGGGAACACTTGTCCTTGTCCCGAGGGTGCCCTTGTCCCGAGAACGAGGGTGCCGTCCCCCGAATAGAGTTTCTACTGTATCTATTCCATATTTTCAGCTGACGTCACGACAGCCAAGTTGGTTCTGGAGAACAAAAGCGTGAAACCACGAGGGTACAACTAGGGCTAGCAGTTACCTGATGATTGGCCATAAAAACAGTAATTAACTGATAACTGGGCAAAAAATTAGTATTTAACTGATAAATATATTATATTAATTACACTGAATACAATTGTTAATTGTAATAAAAACAACAATGTTTTCCAAATAGCATAACCATTTCGTGCCATTTATCTGTCCTATAGAGCGTTTTCACTCACGTGACCAGCATCTAAGCATATATTGCAACAAAAGAAAGCGTTTACATAAGAAAATAGTTCAACTCCCACAGGACCGGTTTGGAACACCAACATGGCCGTCGTTTCAATGGTTTGGAACACCAATATGGACACCGTGACGTCATGTGAAGACGCTCTATATGTAAAAGCTACCAGGGCCGTGCCAGGCAAAGTCAGACATAGAGTTGTTTGTAGACAATTTAACGCCTCATAATTCAGCTTTAATGTTAACAGATCTCTGTTTTCGAAAAATAAAAACATTGTTTTTACGGACTCAGAAGATCGTCAAGTTTAAGAGTACAACCCAGAGAAAAACGCTGTGACTGTTATTATTGGATCTGGCCAATAAAGAAATTCTGATGGCTCAGAGAAATCAGCATCTTTCGTTCAAGTACATGGAATTTGCACTTAGGAGAAAACATTTTTTAACTGATGTTGCAGTTGTAACTATTAATTCTGAAACAGTTTCATTTCTTAAAACTCTTGGATGTGCCAAAAAAGGTATGCCTGCGAACAAGGTAACATTAAGGACGCGAAAGAGAACGTCGATAAAGTCCGTAGATCAGTACCCAATGTGAAGGAGCGCTTTAATTGTCACGAGAAACTAATTAATGGTACAGAGGGTACGGTTTTCAAGAAAACCCAAGATTTTCTTCTCCATTACTCAACGGGATGAACAGGCTGATAGAAATATCACTTCTTTATATGCTTTGTTCGTTGACCAAGATGAGCCTTTAACACTTCTGACAACGCAGGTGGAAAACCTACACGTGGTTTCTCATTTGCATCAAGCACGCAAGCGGCACCCAAAGCACCCAAACAGTGAGTATGGGGTTTTTCGCTCATGTGCTTTCGCTGTTAGTAAAACGCAGTGAAGACGTAATTACGGAAAAACAGAAATGTCAAATACGTTGTTGATAAAATGGAAAACAATCTATGATAGGTTTCAAAACCAGTGATCGTAAGAAATAGGAAAAAAGTCGAATTTTAGACTCACGTAGTAGCGACCACGCCAAAAAACAGGTTTGGCGCTTCTGCAAAAGCCTGTGTAGTTTTTGGACGTTTTTACTTCCGGTGGCCGTAGCGAGTCCCAATCTCGACCAAGAGCTCTTCTGCGCATGTAGAGGAGAGATATCAAACGCGCGCATTCCCAAACCCTTAAGCACTGGGGTCGAGAAAGTAGCGAGTCCCTACTGAGTGCTTTCTACTACAGGAATTGCTCAAAAACGAACTACTAAGTGACCTGCAAAGTATTACACTCACGAAAAGTCTTACTATCCCGTGCCTACATACTTCCATGCCTTTGTCAGCGTTCTCAGCAATGTCTCTCCCAGCGCTACAAACTGTGACAGAAGAAGATGAACTTGTGACCTGCACGCAGCATGGCGGTTTTGGTCGGGCGCGCAAACAAGCCAAGGCGGGCGAGAGCAGTGAAGGTGAGATAAGGAACTGCATAGAGAACTTTTGTCTTGTTTGACAACGAACTGTAAGAAGCGAAACAACTCAAGATAAAGCGCGATCTTTATCACCATGCCAGTTGTCGAATCTCAGCCAAAGCGTGACAAAAAAAAAAATATGCCGTTTCAATTTTTCTCAGGATTTCTCTCAGGATTCGTGTGGTCATGCCGGCCTGAATAAAAGAGATTCGGTAATCGCGAAGCTGTCCACTGAAGTGCGTAGGCAAGTAGAAATTTCAGTTGAATGAGTATTTAAGTCTTTTGCCTTTTGCAAAGGGGAAACAAGGTCTGTAAGATCGTGATCATGAAGTCGAACATAAATTCAGTGTAAAAACTTGAACAAAATCTGTATAAATTTGGGAATTCACGCACAATTGGTAATAGAGAGTAACCATTTGTTCGTAGACTTTTCTGTCTACATCTATTAATTGCGATAACTATTTTTGACAAAGGTCTACTTTCTAAGTACTTACGTATTGCAGGTTCCGAGTTGGTAAGTGAGAAACTGACAAGAGTAGTTGCAGCAAGCGTCTTCGTAGACTACAATCAATGAGGGAGAGAGTGGCTCATTTTATAGTACAATTAAATCATGCTGCGGGCTACAGAGAAGTCATGACGTATGCTAAACGCATTTCACGTTCTGCGAACAAACTGAAAAGAACCGGTAGACTTTAAAGAAAGAAATGGATGACTGCAACTCACAACCTCAATCGGCTTTGTTTCCTTGAAATTAAGAATGGCTATTTTGAACAAATCGAACATTCTCTTTTTATATAAGAATGTTGTTTTTCCGGCCCAGGCTGAAATTTCTTATTTTTCTGTTGATCTTAGGCTGAAAATATTCTTAATACTAAATAATAGCTTATGGCGTTTCCGCTTTAGAATGTCTTGGGGTTTCAATTAAGAGCGTTCTTGCCGTTTAGTGAAAGGAATAATAAATTTTATACGGCTGAGTTAAAAACATAAATTGTATTGTATTTATAGATTTTCAAACACAAAATTGATTCCTTTTCAGCTTAGGGTTTATTCTTAAAATATTCTAATATAAAGAGAGTATCAAGCATTTCTGCAAAGGAACTCTATTAGCCCATGCCATGGCTGTAAAGAAAGTGCCCTCGTTCAAGAAAAATTTTTAACATTTTGTAGCTGCTCTGATCTGTGGACTGTAAAATTATTCACCTCCTCGTATCCTTTGTAATACTTGAAACTTGTTAATTTTTTTTTTCTGCTGCAAAAACTGTTTACCATGCGTAAAATAAGAAGAACGAATGTCCGACGATTCTCGGAGAAAGGCTGGCCAACACGAGGAGCTTTCCTGTATAATATGAACACCTATCTGATATGTCACTCTTCACTTTGGAGATCGGCGCGCCGGGCGGCGTTGCTTTGCTTCGTTACAGAAACCCATGGTCTCGTGGCAGCGCCAAAGCTATCCGACATGGTGTGAACATATCCTTAGCTTAGAGTCTAAGCTCAGGTTATCAATCAGATCAAACAAATAGACACTGACAAACTGTACTTCAGTAAAGCCACGAGATGAACTCAACGATACAGCTTTGCTCGTTCATGGGTTTTGACCTTTTTCTTCCATGGAGTAAAAAAACGTTGTAATTGACGCTCGGGCATGAAATAAGAAAGAAATTCTCAATGGAAATATTTCAAAAGACTTAGATCTTTTATCACTTTCATGTTTATTACCGTGAAGCGTGAAATGGGAATGCTAATTACCGTGATTCGTTATTTGTCATTTGTAAATGTCGTGAATTGTACGAAGGCTCCTCTAAGAGGGGGGACGTACACAATAGAGAGGAGGGAGAAATGGCCCGAAAAAGTAGGGAGGAGGGAGGAATTAATTGACTGAAAAAGTTGGGAGGAGGGAGATTTACGCTCCTGTACCTCCCCACTCCTCTAAAGGGAGTTATGCTTGTGTCCAGTTTTCTTTCGAACCTGGCTTAAATAACTTTTTTAAAAAAACTGATTAATCGTCAGTTGAACAGGAAGCGAACAGACAGACAAAATCATGCATCTTTCGAATTTCGTCGGTTCGTGACTCTAGCATCTTCTTTTGATCTTTGAACTCGATCGCTTGGTGCAATTTATGGCATGACTATTCATCATTTGGGTCTTTTTTAGGTCAGTGAAGGATGATTAATTTTCGGTAAATTTGGGTGTTTTTGAAAGAAAAAACCGCAAAGGATCCAATTCTTAAAGAGCAAGAAATTATGCAGACCTCGCCAAATATGGAAAACTCAGATTCCCCCAAAAAAATCTGACTAGAAAACTCAGACAAACACCTTTAAGCGGTGTTTACCCTCGCCGCTCAAAATTTTAATTAGCTGGAGGTATTGCTTTTGTTACACAGCCTGGGATAATAAGGTAACTGGGCCCTCAACCATGCCAAATGCACCCGGCATGACTCTATCGCCCCATGTAAGAGAATCCAAGACAGTGTTGGATTCTGGATTCCACGCCGTGAATTCTGGATCCAGTGACTGGATTCCGGAACTCCTTGAGCTACATTCAGGATTCCAAAGCCCAGTAATCCGGATACCACATTCAAAACTTTCACGGATTCCAAAATCCAGACTCCCTCACATGGGGTCGGTTTTAGGTCTTCTAAGGTCTCTGAGGGCCTCTCTGAGGCAATCAAACCCCAAAATGTACACGGTAATCTGGTAGCCAGATCTCCCACGCATTTCCTTTTTCAGAACTGCAACACAACCCAACGTCTGACTATGCAAAAAACAATGGAGAATTAGCGAATCACTTGACTCAGTGAATTAAGAGCAACTCCATGCAAATATCGACCAAAGTGCGGCAAGGCTCAAAAAATAAAAATCGCTCTTCTTTTGCATACTGATAGACTTTAGTAAGTGTACAAACGCCATGTAGCTTTGTCTTTGAAAGATCTGTTCGTTTCCGAGAAAAATAAGAAAACCGTTTCAAGCCCCGCCGTCGATTTCACAAGCCGAAAACATGGTTGAAATTCACTATGATTCGCTCGACTTGCATTTCAAAACAACCGCGCGAGAAAAAAAGCTTGTTGCTAAAATTGTAATTATAACTCGTCGTTGACCAAAATATATAATATTTTTAGCATTACAACAGTCTGAGTAATTATATAAAAGCTAAAGCGTATGTCTACCTGTTGTTCAACCACGGAAGGTAGTTGAAAAAAGTGCCCATTTTTATCATGTGCCTTTGATCAGAATTTTTCAGGATTGAAGGGGAAAACACTACAAGCATCAAACTATTATGTTATGTTAAAATTATTGTGGGGAAATCATTTTGAGCTTCTCAGAAATTATTTGAAATTCCTGTTACAGACAACATAAAATAACGCCATCCAACACATGAGTCACGCGACCACCACCAACAATTTGACTTCAGGTTTCCGTTTACAACGCTGGTAATCTTGATATGTAGAACAATTTTTTTGAAAAGCTCACCTTAACCTGTATCTGTTGTACTTCAGGCTCCAAGTTGTTTCATTTTGCTGTCTTATCACCTATCTTACCGTAGTCGTGAAGTCCGCTGGAATGTGTGCGTTGGAGGTGCGTGACAGCTTCCTGGTAATTTCTTCATCCCTCTGTTTTCTCTAATGTTTTCAAGTTAACATCTCATGCTTGTTAAAAATTTTGAGAAACCTGGACTTTAAAAAAGCCGTCTATAAAATAAAACTCGGTAGTTTAACAAAGCAAGTTTCCTTGCTCGTGGATCCGTTCACTTCAATTAATCTCATTTGCATAGCAGTGTGCCAAGAGTCTACTTCCGGTGAAATACACGTGACGAGCTTTACCGACTTTCACCCGTTACTTCCAGTACACTGATGAAGATTCATCTTTTATAATCCTCCTTCTTCAAAAACACTCCAGTTGACATTATTTTACCCGAGAATCATCTTTAATATTTTGACGTATTAGGCATCTGATCAACATTATCGAATTAAATTTAGTTTAATTTGATTCAACTGTTCATTCCCACTTGAAAAAGAGAAAGATCTTTGCATAAACACTGTTTGTGTGCGCTCTTCTTCGATGAAGCTATGGAAGGTTCGTGCTCCTTCGAGTCATTAGTAGGTACTCTGTGTTCGTTTTATAGAAGGGATAAGCAGAGAACAACTGAGATTGTTCCTTTGTCGTCGTCAAACTATTAAGGACGGAACTGGGCATAGGTTGACATGGTCTCTTTCTGGTATTGAAAGCGAAACAGACTTTATTTTAGCTCAGAACTGACCAGCCAGACCATTCCCGTCGCAATGATAATTTCCCTTTTAATCAAACTCTTCAGCTAGATCAGTCAAATCCGAAATAGTATGCTCGAAAGAGAACGTTTTTAAGCAAAAACTCTTGGAAAAATCCTATTTCATTTTCAAAATGACTGGTCGGGCACTGGTCCAGCCGGCCAGTTCTGACAGATGGAAAGCGCCCTAAGTTCCTTTAATATATGCCCTTTCCATCGTTCTGAGCTCGGTATTGGATGGCGACCGAACAGTTATTCCAATTCGTGCCAAGTTCCAAAGGAAAATCGCCAATCACATAATTGAAAGAAGAGGGAAGCCTGTTAAAGCCGACAAAGGAGTTAGAAGAAGAACATTTCAGAATATATCTATCAGCAAACCGGTATCCTCATTCCTGTAGGTTCAGGTACTCTTAGTTTATTCATTGTATTATATTCTAATAAGTCACTTAGATTCAAGAGTTGTCAACTCTCTTAGATAACCCAGAGTCTCCCGGGTACGGCACCAATCCACCTAATCTGTCCGATAAAATAAACTTTTCAGTTTTACTTTTAGTTTGAAATTAAACCCGATTTCCCCCAGAGTAAAGATCATAGTCCAGTTCTGATGGCTTTGTTGTTGTCGTTTTTTTTATTATTATTTTTACATTTCCGTCAAACGACTGACTTGTAGCTCATTCAAAATTGGCCTGTGCAAACCTGTGCAAAATTGGCTTCCTGGTCTTACTCGGCACAGGTTAAAGATCGCAAGGCACCATCGGATCCTTCATGGCCGAGGTTCTGTTGTCTCCGCTGTTTCTTCGATTTTGTTTTGGAAATTGTCTTATTTCAAATGTACTAACAAAAAAATGTAAATAATGTTTGTTTCAATTCACGAAAAGTGACATTTAAAACAGCAGAAATTACATTAATTTTGTCCTTTATTAAGAAGGCACTCTGAAATAACGCACGTGCAGGCCAGGATTACCCACGTGCAGCCAACTATTGGAAGTTCTACCGTGTGAAGATGGGAAGAAAACATGTACACAATATTTTGTTAAGACATCTTTTGATTTGATAATGCCGACGTCTCGAAGCAATGAAAATCTTCAGCGAGGCTACCAATTATATTCTTCATTTTCAAAAATTTTGTATTACACGCATGTTTTACGTTTGCTTTTCGCCTGCTTTTAGCGGATCCTGACCCCGGGCCCCGGGATCTTGACAGCTGTAATCCGATATTACTTTTGAAACTAATTTGCATACTGAGTCACAAAAAGTCCGTAGGGCGTTCATCCTTCAGATTGACGCTTCCTTCTGCGGTGTCCAGCAGCATTTTGAGACAAAAGTTGTTGACAGATAAGGAGGAGAGGGTTTACTACGTGCTGAATTAACATACGCGAACTTCGTTTGAAAGCATGCGTGTTGGTTATGAGTCTCAAACAGAGTTTAATATAGAATGCAAACTTGAACAGATGGCAACGGGAAACATTTTGCCGTAAACCTAGACCTGAATCAAAGAATAGGGTAAGTACTTTAACATTTAGGACTGTGTGCGTGAATATTAGCAAGACTTTTTAGGACAGACGTTTGATGACCTTTGCCTGGTCGACTGACGATGGTCACGCATATGTTAAAGATGGCGTTACTTTATGTTGCCTGTAAAACGATTTTCAAATAATTTCTGAGAAGCTCAAAATGATTTCCCCAAAATAATTTTTACACAACATAAACGTTTGATGCCTGTTGTGCATTTCCCCTTAATCTGGAAAAATTCTGATCAAAGGCACATGATGAAAATCGTCGCTGTTTTCAACGACCTTTCGTGGGTAAACATCAGGTAGCCGTACGCTTTAGTTTTTTTAAAATTACTCAGAGGGTTGTAATGCTAAAAATATTATATATTTTGATCACCGACGAGTTAAACTTAAAATTTTAGCTATAAGTTTCCTTCCTAGCGCGGTTGTATTGGAACGCGAGTCCAGCGAATCATGATGAATTTCCACCCTGTGTTTGGCTTGCGAAATCGACGGTGGGGCTTGAAACGGTTTTCTTCGTTTTTCTCGGAAACGAACAGATCTTTGGAAGAAAAAAATACATAACGTTTGTATACTTACTAAAGTCTACCAGTCTGCAAAAGAAGAGCGATTTTGAGTTTTTGAGCCTTGCCACGAATCGGCGATTTTGGTCGATTTTTGCACGGATTTGCTCTTAAAAACAATGTAACACAAGAACTCCAGAATAGCCTTCAAAAGAAGTAATAAAGGTTGTTGTATTGTATTATGTGTGTTGTCGCAGAGATATATTGCTATGCTTTATGGGAACGATTTGTATCGCGTGACCTAGATATTTGACACTCCCAGAAAATGTAAGGCCCAGCTAGACTCTAACCAAGGGGCCTTCTTAGGATTACAAAATAGCTATTGGTGCTTTGATCTCCAAGTGAATTAGTAGTTAACAGTTAAGGTTAGGAGTGGCTTCTGCTTTGAGATTTTCGCTTCAAAAAGTCACGTGACAAGTATTTTCACCCACACTGCAACACTGTCAACACTCTAGGGTGACCAGCTATACGTTGCTGTTTATATTGAATTAAGAATATTTCGCTCTTAGTCTTTAATTTCAAAATTCGCCACCCTCCTTCGTGTTTTGCGCTTTGGCTTAACATGAAGCTCCGCGGGGCTTGTAACCACTAGCCTCCCTATCTAAGTTCTTATCTTTTGCTTCGGTTGACAAAAAACCTTCCAATATTACTCTCACTCTAAATTATCGTTAGTTTGCAGAGTTTGCAATATCTTAATGTCAACTTACGGGCAAAAAGCAATTTAGATGAACCCTTTAAAGCCTAACACCGCATAAAACCTTTCACCGCATATATGCGTAAAAAATACTGTACATGCATTACCTATTTGCTTCTTGTCTTACTTTACTTATAACCTTTTGAACATTTATTCATAACACTAAATGGTAGATTTTGTAATTATGAAAACAAACAAACCAACTGGAACTCCCAATTTCCACTTTAAATCGCTGTTCGTTTGGCAACAAAGTCCATAAAGCCAGTTTTTTGCCCGAAATTCATCCCCAAAAATGGCACTTTTCGTCGTTGATTTCTTAGGCAGAAAATTGATTTCAAAACCAGAAGTCTGCATTTATACAAGGCCATAACTTGGTATCTAGTATCTTGGTATCTAACTATTTTTATCATCATATTGTGCAATTTAACTTATTGATAAGAGCGAATTGTTTAGTCCTTGTGCTCGAAAATCTGTCACTCTTTCGGAAACGACTTTCGATAGGCAATGCACATTGAGACGCTTAAAAAGGTTGAGTTTAGCTCGTGCTGAACTGTGAATGGATAGCCAAGTAAACTACTAAATAATAACCTTTTATTGATAACAAAACTAACTATCAAAACCTTTTTACAACTGGTTTCGCTGAAGAAGAAAAAATACATATATATATATATTCAGTCAAAGCACTCATTTCATTTCAATAGCTCCTGTTCATTTCGATTTAAAAAAAATTCATTTCAATTAAAAACAATTCATTTCGATTAAAAATGAATACAAATATTAAAAAGCTCCTAAAATACTAATTTGCCCACGCCACCATCACCCTCTAAAATCAGCGGACACACGCTTGGCTAGCGTTTAAGCGGCAGTCATCAATGAAATCCCGTTGTGGAACTTTGCGGAAGGGTGTCCTGGAACCTCTTACACATGTGTGTACCGACCTTAAAATCTCAAAAGAAAGCAATGTTCTAATCCAAGTAATAGTAATGTGATAAGGTTCCTCATTCTTTTCAGAGAGCTTCTCGGCTATTGGCGTTTGAGAAAACAGTTGCAGTCGGCTCCCATCCCACCGTTGGTTTCAAAAACTAGGGGAGTGAAGGATCCCATTTCAACGTCCAGTACCCTCTGTTGGTACTTCCGCTGTTTCTCCTCCTCCTTCTCCTTGAAGATTGTGGATGCTGTTTTTCCCTGGTTACACTTGGAGTTAACATGTGTTACTCTGACATCAAAAAATGCTGAACTCCACGAGACCTTGCCTTGCCTTGCCTCCGGGCTTGTTACGCGCTTCTGAGGTTGAATCGCTCCTTATCGAGAGGTTGTAGGTGTGGTTCGATTTCGACGTTGATGCAAACCTTACCAATAAGTGAGGTAAGTAGGTTGCGAACACCATCGTGTCTCTTCGCCACGAACCCTCCCTTTTTGCATGACAGGGCATGGCAGCCGGTATATACTTCTCACTACAAACACACTTGGGGCATATTATACCTTAAACGCAGAGAGTCTCTATACCTTCAACGCAGAGAGTCTCTTCAGCACCAAGCCCTGATCGACATTAGAGGCACTGCGGTAAGCCGTAAGCACGCACCGTTGTCTCTCGATTGGTTAACTGACCGCAGCAGATCCGAGGGTAGTTTATTGCCATCAATTTCTTTGAAATTAATTGCCACAGAGATTTGTCGCGCACGTGTTGCCAGGTGCTCAGGTGGCATGATGCAAATAGTTAACAGAAGACAGTAGAGCGCTTTTCTAAAACCTGTTTAGTCTTGCCTGAACGAGAGCTTTTATACAGAAGTAATTTCCCAAAACAGAAAACGCACTTGACAATACCAGGAGTATAACATCAGCACAAATCTGCGATCTGCTGAGTTCGTGGTACTTTACCTTTAAATGTACCAACAAAGGAATCCAAAACCCGGCAAATACAGTCTGAAAAGATCCCAAAAGAGCTGCTATGAGCGCGAAGTGTGGCAGAAAAATAGCTATCGCCAGTGTGATGACTACCAACGAAACCCGAATTATAATATTACATATGGTATTGGAAATATCAGAAGTTATTTCTGAAAAAAAAGTCGATTCGTCGAGAGATTCACATACAGGTCTCAAGCAAAGTATGATTGAGAGTAAGCTGCTAATAACGAGACTTATAGAAGCGGTTATGTTAAGTGGTCCAGCGGGAAAATTGTTAACAATGGCTTCATCTGTGTTGGATCCAAAAGTCAAAAATCCAAAGACTGCAATAATCACTTTAATTACAACTGATACAGCAAATGCCGAAGCCAACGCTTTTCCAAAGTCCGATTTATTCTTCATACTTTTTTCTACCGAAGGAATGATCTCTGCCACGCCGTAACCAGCCAAATTGATTCCCAGCGAGATGAAGACTCCATCGAAGTCCCAAAACAAGAGGGTACTGGGATCCCAATTCTCTATATTTTCAACGCCATACCATACTGTTATTGCCGTAGTTAGACCAATGGCGACTATACTGATAGTACTTAGCCATGCAATCTGGGAGTAAGATTTCAAAAACATTGTTGGTAGAATAAGCAGTGCAGCGAAGCAAGTCCAGGAAGTTTGCGAGAGGGGTACTGTTGGTAGGGCGTGGGAGGTGAGAGATCCACAGAGAATTAGATAACTGACTGCTACAAAAACAAAACCAATGTCTTGAGTCCACGCGACAATTTTACCTGCATAATTAGGATATATCGCGTCTCCTATCTCCTTCCAAGTTGATCTTGCTCGAGTCTTTCCTTTTTTCTCGTCGCTGTCGTACAAACTCTCGGCTAACACTTTTCCTGCGTACCAGGTTATAATTGGCAGTAAAAACAGTGATATCACAGCCGTGATTCCACCCTTTTTGATAGAATACGGCAAAGCAAGCAATGCAACCCCTTCGATGAAGTTTATCAAGTTCATTGTTGCCTTCCATGTCGAGGATGTCCCTTCAGGCAGAGATGCAACGCTTTCAGTCGCTATATAGTTCTCACTTGAAACGCTTTCATCATCCGAAGAACTTTCGGCGTCCGAGGACTGCAGTTCTAAGACTGTTTCTTCGTCACTCTCACTCAGTTGTGACAGGTTGCGATAGCCTTGTTTCATTTCTTTGTGTATTGCGAAATATCTAAAAGAAAAATAGAAGAGGTGAGCAATTTTTCGTGTAAACCTTAAATAAACCATTTGTATACTAAACAGAATTTATGACCTATCACAAGCATCTTTTAGAAGACACTCCCTTCACAACTCAATAAATACAGTAGAAGACACTCCCTTTACAACTCAGGGCTTGAATATAAGTGACTTTTTTTACAGCCAGAATAGGGCGACTAGGTCTCGTGTCCGGTAAGAGCGCGCGCGTGTTTATCTTCCTTTATTAGCGCGTGCAAGTTTTCAAATTTGTTCGTTATCACGTAACAATGGTGAGTGATGCTTGTAACGGCCATTCACCCTGATGAAGGCCGTTTAACACCGCCAAAATATAGGTGAGAGACGAAAGACATATTGTTTTACTCTTCACTTGTGGTACTGTAACAGAATTTATGATGTATATATATATCACAGTGGAACTTATCCTTTGGGACATCTGTATTCAAGAGACACCTCCATTCAGGGGTCACAAAATTTGGTGCGCGAAAAATGTTCACATAATCTTTGTATTTGTTTCCTCTATTGAAGGGACACCTCTATTCATGGGAAAGGGTCTCTTTTTCGATTCTGGATCCCAAAACCCGGATTCAACCTCTGTTCAGGGTACACCTTAGCACTCAAAAGGTGACTAACCACAAAAATCCTCGATAAGTTTAAGTTTTCAGTAGTCACAATGGCGACGGCTTTCACAAAACATGAACTAATTTATTAATAAATCGATGTACTGCACTTGTGGGACTTCAACACACAACATCGCAGTGAAAAGTTAATCATGATTTTTTATACATTATCTAGCTGCTTGAAATGGCCGCAGAAGTAAAATATACAAAAGCCCAGCCCAACCTCCATTTAGGGGACCCCTCTGTTCAGGGAACACTTGCATTTGTCCCGAGGGTGCCGTCCTACGAATAGAGTTTCTACTGTATCTATTCCATATTTTCAGCTGACGTCACGGCAGTCAAGTTGGTTCTGGAGAACAAAAGCGTGAAACCAAGAGGGTACCACTAGGGCTAGTAGTTAACTGATGATTGGCCTCAAAACAGTAGTTAACTGATAACTGGCCAAAAAATTAACAGTTAACTGATAAATGAAGAGCTAACAGTTAAGTAACATTGCATTAATTATACTGAATACAATCGTTGATTGTAATAAAAACAACAACGTTTTTCAAATAGCGAAACTATTTCGTGCCATTTATCTGTCCCGCTGATGAGACTAATGACACTAATATTCCGATAGAGCGTTTTCACTCACGTGACCAGCATCTATGCAAATTTATCGGAACAAAAGAAAGCGTTTACATAAGGAAATGTTTCAACTTCCATAGGACTGGTTTGGAATAGCAACATGGCCGCCGTTTCATTGTTTTGGAACACCAATATGAACGCCGTGACGTCATGTGAAAACGCTCATGTAGAAGGTACCAGGGCCGTCCCAGGCAAAGTCAGACATAGAGTTGTCTGTAGACAATTCAACGCCGAATAATTCAGCATTAACGTTAATAGTTTTCTGTGTTCGAGAAATGAAAGCATTGTTTTCACGGACTCAGAAGATTGTCAAATTTAAGAGTACCACCCAGAAAAAAATGCTGTGACTGTCATCATTGAATATGGTCAATAAAGAAATTCTGATGGCTCAGTGAAATCAGCATCTTTCGTTCAAGTACATGGAATTTGTACTTAGGAGAAAACATTTTTTAACTGATGTTGCAGTTGTAACTATTAATTCTGAAACAGTTTCATTTCTTAAAACCCTTGGATGTGCCAAAAAAGGTATGCCTGCGAACAAGGTAACATTAAGGACGCGAAAGAGAACGTCGATAAAGTCCGTAGATCAGTACCCAATGTGAAGGAGCGCTTTAAATTGTCACGAGAAACTAATTAATGGTACAGAGGGTACGGTTTTCAAGAAAACCCAAGATTTTCTTCTCCATTACTCAACGGGATGAACTGGCTGATAGAAATATCACTTCTTTATATGCTTTGTTCGTTGACCAAGATGAGCCTTTAACGCTTCTGACAACGCAGGTGGAAAACCTACACGTGGTTTCTCATTTGCATCAAGCACGCAAGCGGCACCCAAAGCACCCAAACAGTGAGTATGGGGTTTTTCGCTCATTTGCTTTCGCTGTTAGTAAAACGCAGTGAAGACGTAATTACGGAAAAACAGAAATGTTAAATACGCTGTTGATAAAATGGAAAACAATCTAGGATAGGTTTCAAAACCAGTGATCGTAAGAAATGGGGGAAAAGTCGAATTTTAGACTCACGTAGTAGCGACCACGCCAAAAAACAGGTTTGGCGCTTCTGCGAAACCCTGTGTAGTTTTTGGACGTTTTTACTTCCGGTCGCCGTAGGGAGTCCCAATCTCGACCAAGAGCTCTTCTGCGCATGTAGAGGAGAGAGATCAAACGCGCGCATTCCCAAACCCGTAAGCACTGGGGTCGAGAATGTAGCGAGTCCCTACTGAGTGCTTTCTACTACAGGAATTGCTCAAACGAACTACGAAGTGAGCTGCAAAGTATTACACTCACGAAAAGTCGTACTATCCCGTGCCTGCATACTTCCATGCCTTTGTCAGCGTTCTCAGCAATGTCTCTCCCAGCGCTACAAACTGTGACAGAAGAAGATGAACTTGTAACCTGCACGCAGCATGGCGGTTTTGGTCGGGCGCGCAAACAAGCCAAGGCGGGCGAGTGCAGTGAAGTTGAGATGAGGAACTGCATAGAGAACTTTTGTCCTGTTTGACAACGAATTGTAAGAAGCGAAACAACTCAAGATAAAGCGCGATCTTTATCACCATGCCAGTTGTCGAATCTCAGCCAAAGCGTGAAAAAAAAAATTATGCCTTTTCAATTTTTCAAAACTCTCAGGATTCGTGTGGTCATGCCGGCCTGAATAAAAGAGATTCGGTAATCGCTAAGCTGTCCACTGAAGTGAGTAGGCAAGTAGAAATTTCAGTTGAATGAGTATTTAAGTCTTTTGCCTTTTGCAAAGGGGAAACAAGGTCTGTAAGATCGTGATCATGAAGTCGAACATAAATTCAGTGGGAAAACTTGAACAAATTCTGTATAAATTTGGGAATTTACGCACCATTGATAATAGAGAGTAACCATTTGTCCGTGGACTTTTCTGTCTACATCTATTAATTGCGAAAACTATTTTTGACAAAGGTCTACTTTTTAAGTACTTACGTATTGCAGGTTTTCAGTTGGTAAGTGAGAAACTGACAAGTGTAGTTGCAGCAAGCGTCTTCGTAGACTACAATCAATGAGGGAGAGAGTGGCTCATTTTATAGCACAATTAAATCATGCTGCGGGCTACGTACAGAGAAGTCATAGCGTATGCTAATTATTCGCATTTCACGTTCTGCGAACAAACTGAAAAGAACCGCTAGACTTTAAAGAAAGAAATGGATGACTGCAACTCACAACCTCAATCGGCTTTGTTTCCTTGAACTTAAGAATACCTATTTTGAACAAGTCGAACATTCTCTTTTTATATAAGAATGTTGTTTTTCCGGCCCAGGCTGAAATTTCTTATTTTTGTGTTGATCTTAGGCTGAAAATATTCTTAATACTAAATAATAGCTTATGGCGTTTCCGCTTTAGAATGTCTTGGGGTTTCAATTAAGAGTGTTCTTGCCGTTTAGTGAAAGGAATAATAAATTTTATACGGTTGAGTTAAAAACATAAATTGTATTGTATTTATAGATTTTCAAACACAAAATTGATTCCTTTTCAGCTTAGGGTTTATTCTTAAAATATTCTAATATAAAGAGAGTATCAAGCATTTCTGCAAAGGAACTCTATTAGCCCATGCCATGGCTGTAAAGAAAGTGCCCTCGTTCAAGAAAAATTTTTAACATTTTGTAGCTGCTGTGATCTGTGGACTGTAAAATTATTCACCTCCTCGTATCCTTTGTAATACTTGAAACTTGTTAAATTTTTTTTTTCTGCTGCAAAAACTGTTTACCATGCGTAAAATAAGAAGAACGAATGTCCGACGATTCTCGGAGAAAGGCTGGCCAACACGAGGAGCTTTCCTGTACAATATGAACACCTATCTGATATGTCACTCTTCACTTTGGAGATCGGCGCGCCGGGCGGCGTTGCTTTGCTTCGTTACAGAAACCCATGGTCTCGTGGCAGCGCCAAAGCTATCCGACATGGTGTGAACATATCCTTAGCTTAGAGTCTAAGCGCAGGTTATCAATCAGATCAAACAAATAGACACTGACAAACTGTACTTCAGTAAAGCCACGAGATGAACTCAACGATACAGCTTTGCTCGTTCATGGGTTTTGACCTTTTTCTTCCATGGAGTAAAAAAACGTTGTAATTGACGCTCGGGCATGAAATAAGAAAGAAATTCTCAATGGAAATATTTCAAAAGACTAAGATCTTTTATCACTTTCATGTTTATTACCGTGAAGAGTGAAATGGGAATGCTAATTACCGTGATTCGTTATTTGTTATATGTAAATGTCGTGAACTGTACGAAGGCTCGTCTAAGAGGGGGGAGGTACACAATGGGGAGGAGGGAGGAATTGACTGAAAAAGTTGGGAGGAGGGAGATTTACCCTCCTGTATCTCCCCCCTCCTCTAAAAGGAGTTTTGCTTGTGTCCAGTTTTCTTTCGAACCTGGCTTAAATAACATTTTTTTTAAAAAACTGATTAATCGTGAGTTGAACAGGAAGCGAACCGACAGCCAAAATCATGCATCCTTCGAAATTCTTCGGTTCGTGACTCTAGCAGCTTCTTTTGACCTTTGAACTCGATCGCTGGTTGCAATTTATTTTTGAGAACTAGGCATGACTATTCATTATTTGGGCCTTTTTTAGGTCAGTGAAGGATGATTAATTTTCGGTGGATTTGGGTGTTTTTGAAAGAAAAAACCGCAAAGGATCCAATTCGTAAAGAGCAAGAAATTATGCAGACCTCGCCAAATATGGAAAACTCAGACCCCCCAAAAAAATCCGACTAGAAAACTCAGACAAACACCTTTAAGCGGTGTTTACCCTCACCGCTCACAATTTTAATTAGCTTTAAGTATTGCTTTTGTTACACAGCCTGGCATAATAAGGTAACTGGGCCCTCAACTATGCCAAATGTACCCGGCATGACTCTATCGCCCCATGTAAGAGAATCCAAGACAGTGTTGGATTCTGGATTCCACGCCGTGGATTCTGGATCCAGTGACTGGATTCCGGAACTCCTTGAGCTACATTCAGGATTCCAAAGCCCAGCAATCCGGATACCACATTCAAAACTTTCACGGAAACCAAATTCCAGACTCCCTCACATGGGGTCGTTTTAGGTCTTCTAAGGTCTCTGAGGGCCTCTCTGAGGCAATTAAACCCCAAAATGTACACGCTAATCTGGTAGCCAGATCTCCCACGCATTTCCTTTTTCAGAACTGCAACACAACCCAACGTCTGAGTATGCAAAAAACAATGGAGAATTAGCGAATCACTTGACTCAGTGAATTAAAAAAAATGTAACGCAAGAACTCCAGAATAGCCTTCAAAAGAAGTAATAAAAGTTGTTGTATTGTATATGTGTGTTGTTGCAGAGATATATTGCTATGCTTTATGGGAACGATTTGTATCGTGTGATCTAGATATTTGACACTCCCAGAAAATGTAAGACCCAGCTAAACTCTAACCAAGGGGCTTTCCTGGGATTACAAAATAACTATTGGTGCTTTGACCTCCAAGTGAGTTAGTAGTTAACAGTCAGGGTTATGAGTGGCCTCGGGTTGAGGTTTTCGCTTCAAAAAGTCACGTGACAAGTATTTTCACCCACACTGCAACACTGTCAACACTCTAGGGTGACCAGCTATACGCTGCTGTTTATGTTGAATTAAGAATATTTCGCTCTTAGTCTTTAATTTCAAAATTCGCCACCCTCCTTCGTGTTTTGCGCTTTGGCTTAATATGAAGCTCTGGGGGGCTTGTAACAACTAGCCTCCCTATCTAAGTCCTTATCTTTTGCTTTGGTTGTCAAAAAACTTTCCAATATTACTCTTACTGTAAATTATCGTTAGTTTGCAGAGGTTGCAATATCTTAATGTCAAGTTACGGACAAAAAGCAATTTAGATTAACCCTTTAAAGCCTAACACCGCATAAAACCTTTCAACGCATATATGCGTAAAAAATACCTTACATATTTTACCTATTTGCTTCTTGTCTTACTTTAGTTGCAACCTTTTGAACATTTATTCATAACACTAAATGGTAGATTTTATAATCGTGAAAGCAAACAAACCAACTGAATCCCGCAATTTCCACTTTATATCGCCGTTCGTTTGGCAGCAAAGTCCAAAAAGCCAGTTTTTTGGCCGAAAACCATCCCCAAAAATTACACTTTTCGTCGTTGATTTTGTAGGCAGAAAAGTGATTTCAAAATCAAAAGTCTGCATTTATACAATGCCATAACTTGGTATCTAGTTGGAATTTCTTCTCTTGCTATTTTCGTTGGACATGCTTCAGCCATTTTCTTAGAGCCAGTGTCGCCTTAGCCTACCACGCAGACGTTCTTAGGGGTTCGTCACCCGTTCCTGTGTTCCTGTCAGTGGGGCAGGATCGGGTGACGAACCCCTAAGAATGTCTGCGTGGGAGGCTAGTGTCGCGTATCTCAACTTGGCTAGTTCGTGCTCGAAAGGAATTCTGGGTTATTGAGTCACACCGTGAGCGTAGAACGCTTCCTACTCTCATTTCAAAGAGTTTTTATAAGTGTTTGGCCACCCAGTCCTAACTAGTGATTTGGTTTCTTATATAGAAATGTTATATAGTTCATTGAGATACTTCCATTTTTAATAATTTTTCCCTGATCCCCGAGTAGCATTCATTGATGACGATAATGACTATTATTTTTAAATACTTTTATTAAAAATATTGTTATCATCATATTGTGCAATTCAACATGTTGGTAAGAGTGAATTGTGTAGTCATTGTGCTCGAAAATCTGTCACTCTATCGGAAACAACTTTCGATAAGGCAATGCATACTGAGACGCTTAAAAAGCCAGGTTTGTTTAGCCTGTCCTGAACAGCATATGGATAACCAATTAAATTACTAAATTAATTGCCACATAGATTTGTCGGGCTTGGTTTGCCAGGTACTCAGGTGGCATGATGCAAATAGTTAACAGAAGGTAGTAAAGCGCTTTTCTAAATTAAACCATGTTTAGTCTTGCCTGAACAAGAGCTTTTACAGAGAAGTAATTTCCGAAAACAGAAAACGCACTTGAAAATACCAGGACTATAACATCAGCAAAAATCTGCAATCTGCTGAGTTCGTGGTATTTTACCTTCAAATGCACTAAAAAAGGAATCCAAAGCTCGGAAAATACAGCCTGAAAAGATCCCATAAGAGCTGCTATGAGCGCGAAGTGTGGCAGAAAAATAGCTATCGCCAGTGTGATGACTACCAACGAAACCCGAATTATAAAATTACGTATGGTATTGGAAATATCAGAAGTTATTTCTGAAAAAAAAGTCGATTCGTCGAGAGATTCACATACAGGTCTCAAGCAAAGTATGATTGAGAGTAAGCTGCTAATAACGAGACTTATAGAAGCGGTTATGTTTAGCGGTCCAACGGGAAAATTGTTAGCAATGGCTTCATCTGTCTTGGATCCAAAAGTCAAAAATCCAAAGACTGCAATAATCACTTTAATTACAACTGATACAGCAAATGCCGAAGCCAACGCTTTTCCAAAGTCCGATTTATTCTTCATACTTTTTTCTACCGAAGGAATGATCGGGGCCACTCCGTAACTAAGCAAAGTGATCCCCAACGAAATGAAGACTCCTTCGAAGTCCCAAAACAAAAGTGTACCGGGATTCCAATTCTCTACATTTTCAACACCATACCATACTGTTAGTGCTGTAGTTAGACCAATGGCGACTATACTAATAGTACTTAGCCATGCAATCTGGGAGTACGATTTCAAAAACATTGTTGGTAGAATAAGCAGTGCAGCGAAGCAGGTCCAGGAAGTTTGCGAGAGGGGTACTGTTGGTAGGGCGTGGGAGGTGAGAGATCCACAGAGAATTAGATAATTGACTGCTGCAAAAACAAAACCAATGTCTTGATTCCACGCGACAATTTTACCTGCATATTTAGGATATATCGCGTCTCCTATCTCCTTCCAAGTTGATCTTATACGAATCTTCCCTTTTTTGTCGTCGATGTCGTACAAACTCTCGACTAACACTTTTCCCGCGTACCAGGAGATAATTGGCAGTAAAAACAGTGATATTACAGCCGTGATTCCACCCTTTTTGATAGAATACGGCAAAGCAAGCAATCCAGCCCCTTCCATGTAGTTTAACAAGTTCATTGTTGCCTTCCATGTCGAGGATGTCCCTTCAGGAGATGCGGCGCTTTCAGTCTTTATGTAGTTCTCACTTAAAACGCTTTCATCATCTGAAGAACTTTCGGCGTCCGAGGACTGCAGTTCCAAGACTGCTTCTTCGTCACTATCACTCACTTGTGACAGGTTGCGATAGCCTTGTTTCATTTCTTTGTTTATTGCGAAATATCTAAAAGTAAAATAGAAAAGGTGAGCAATGTTTCGTGTAAACCTTAAATAAACCATTTACATAATTAACAGAATTTATGATGCATATACAGTGGAACCTATCCTTTGGGACACCTCTATTCAAGTGACACCTCCATTTGGGGGACACAACATTTGGTCCCCGAAAAATGTTCACGTAATCTTTGTATTTGTTTCCTCTAGTGAAGGGACACCTCTATTCATGGGAAAGGGTCTCCTTTTCGATTCTGGATCCCAAAACCTGGATTCAACCTCTATTCAGGGTACACCTTAGCACTCAAAAGGTGACTAACCACAAAAATCCTTGATAAGTTTAAGTTTTAGTAGTCACAATGGCGACTGCTTTCAAAACATGGACTTATTCACTTAATAAATCGATGTACTGCACTTTTGGGACTTAACACACAACATCGCAGTGATTAATTAATCATTGATTTTTTATAAATTATCTAGCTGCTTGAAATAATCGCCGCAGCAGATTCCGAGGTAAAATATACAAAAGCCCAGCCCAACCTCCTTTCAGGGGACCCCTCTGCTCAGGGAACCCTTGTATTTGTCCCGAGGGTGCCGTCCCATGAATAGAATTTCTACTGTATCTATTCCATATTTTCAGCTGACGTCACGACAGCCAAGTTGGTTCTGGAGAACAAAAGCGTGAAACCAAGAGGGTACCACTAGGGCTAGCAGTTAACTGATGATTGGCCTCAAAAACAGTAGTTAATTGATGACTGGCCAAAAAATTAGTATTTAACTGATAAATAAAGAGTTAACACTTAAGTGACATATATTATATTGTTTATACTGAATAGAATCGTTGATTGTAATAAAAACAACAATGTTTTCCAAATAGCATAACCATTTCGTGCCATTTATCTGTCCTATTGAGAGTTTTCACTAACGTGACCAGTATCCATGCAAATTTATTGGAACAAAAGAAAGCGTTTACAAAAGAAAATAGTTCACCTCCCACAGGACTGGTTTGGAACAGCAACATGGCCGCCGTTTCATTGTTTTGGAACACCAATATGAACGCCTTGACGTCGTGTGAAAACGCTCATGTAGAAGGTACCAGGGCCGTGCCAGGCAAAGTCAGACATAGAGTTGTTTGTTGATAATTTAACACCGAATAATTCAGCTTTAATGTTGACAGTTTTCTGTGTTCGAAAAATAAAAACATCGTTTTCACGGACTCAGAAGATCGTCAAGTTTAAGAGTACAACCCAGAGAACAACGCTGTGACTGAGTTATCATTGGATCTGGCCAATAAAGAAATTCTGATGGCTCAGAGAAATCAGCATCTTACGTTCAAGTACATGGAATTTGTACTTAGGAGAAAACATTTTTTAACTGATGTTGCAGTTGTCACTATTAATTCTGAAACAGTTTCATTTCTTAAAACCCTTGGATTTGCCAAAAAAAGTACGCCTGCGAACAAGGTAACATTAAGGACGCGAAAGAGAACGTCGATAGTCTGTAGCGAGGTATAAAGATCCGGTAGCAAATGGGAAAGAGCGCTTTAAATTGTCACGAGAAACAAATTAATGGTCCAAAGGGTACTGGTTTCAAGAAAACCCAAGATTTTCTTCTCCTTTACTCAGCGGGATAAACAGGCTGATAGAAATATCACTTCTTTATATCCTTTGTTCGTTGACCAAGATGAGCCTTTAACACTTCTGACAACGCAGGTGGAAAACCTACACGTGGTTTCTCATTTGCTTCAAGCACGCAAGCGGTACCCAAAGCACCCAAACAGTGAGTACGGGGTTTTTCGCTCATTTGCTTTCGCTGTTAGTAAAATACAGGGAAGACGTAATTACGGAAAACAAGAAGCGTCAAATCCTTTGTTGATAAAATGGAAAACAATCTATGATAGGTTTCAAAATCACTGATCGTAAGAAATAGGAGAAAAGTCGAATTTTAGACTCCCGTCGTAGCGACCACGCCACAAGAGAGCCTGCGTAGGTTTTGGGCGTTTTTACTTCCGGTCGCCGTAGCGAGTCCCTACTGAGTGCTTTCTACTACGCCTAATGCTTTTGAGCCATAGTATAGAAATTGCTCAAACGAACTACGAAGTGAGCCGCAAAGTATTGCACTCACGAAAAGTCACGGTACTCTCCCGTGCCTGCATACTTCCATGCCTTTGTCAGCGTTCTCAGCGATGTCTCGCCCAGCGCTGCAAACTGTGACAAAAGAGGATGAACTTGTGACCTGCACGCAGCATGGCGGTTTTGGTCGCGCGCGCAAACAAGCCAAGGCGGGCGAGAGCAGTGAAGTTGAGATGAGGAACTGCATAGAGACGTTTTGTCCTGTTTGACAACGAACTGTAAGAAGCGAAACAACTCAAGACAAAGCGCAATCTTTATCACCATGTACGGTCGCAATTTGTAATAATCATCGCACTTTGTAATACCTGTCGCAATTTGTAATAAATCCATCGCACTTTGTAATACCTGTCGCAATTTGTAATAAACCGTGTCGCACTTTGTAATAAAAAAGCTGACGCAATTTGTAACAACTGTCCATCGCACTTTGTAATAAAGTAAGCTGTCGCAATTTGTATTAATTCCATCGCACTTTGTAATAATTTTTTGAGAGTAATCAAACTTACTTTGTCAACATTAATATAATGCCAAAATATGCATGGTACTTTATAAACAAAGATGATGACGTCAGCTAGCACGTAACATCTCCGCTCATTCAAACATTTAACTTTATTCACCGTCCTAAACATTTTCTTTAGATTGACGTTGATTGGTTATCTGACTTACGAAATGCTGTATTCTTAAACCTTTCTATTGCACTAGGTGGTTTCCATTCAATGGTTACCCGGGGGTGTACTTTCTTATATGGCCAATACGGGGATGTGCCTCTGGACAGAGCGTTGTCAGAGTACAGAATCTAGACACACTAGACACAAAGGAGCCATTATTAAAAAGCATTTAATTTTCGCAAATCGAAACATCCATCCTACGTCATTCGAATAAGGACACCAGGAGATTTCAAGCTTTCCTTGTTCCATCTTACAACAAGTCGACACAACACGTGGTGCACCGTCCTTGTCTAACGCGCAATCTTAAAGAAGTAATAGTGGCTTCCATATTTTGGCCAAATTAATCAAACGAGGCCTGGAAAGATTCAAAATGTTTACTGCAAATAATTAAAAAAACGTCACCAGTGGCAAACCGTCGAACCACAACAGAAACCTAAACACAAAATCCAATTAGTTGCTGGCCAATACCTTCGTATGTACCTGTTTTTATAACACTCACTTGGGGTCTTACACTGAGCCCGGCTGGGCATTTGGCCCATTATTCTCACTTGATTTGGTCCCATATAGGAACAAAAGGAGTACTCATTCCATCTTAAAACAATTGTTTTCTATAAGGAGTCCTCTAAAGCAAATACCATGGGGATAGCAAAAAATTATCTTTCCCTGCGTATATACAACTCGTAAGACCTTGCAATTCTTCCGAGCGTGTTCTGGATTACTGTTTTTCCACAAAATGGAAAGGATCGAATAAACCATTCATTACTACATCCTTACTACTAAGGATCAAACCAAAGACACAAGGCCAACAACGTAAAAAATGATACCCTGTTAAAGGCTCGAGATCCCCAAAAACCATACCCTATCAAGCGGTACTTACCTATCTAGCCCATCCATATATGGGATTATATTCCCCCCCCCCACCCCCCCCGAAGACTTCACGCGTCACTTGGCAAGCAAACATGGATTTGGACTACGAATGCCAGGTTATTCATGAATTTTCTGTTGTTAAATGTTGCTTTAGTTATTTAAATATTTTTGAATTTTAACATGATTCATCTCTTTTTGGTGATATGTCACAGCACTCCTGGTCACAGGAAGTTTCATGTCTTTCATAAAAGCGTTTCTAGTTGGTCACGTGATTAATCAAGGCAGAAAAATTTATAGCGTAAGACATGCATGTTTGACCAAAGTAAATGTTACGGAGATTTTACGTGGTAGCAGACGTCATCATCTTTGTTTATGAAGTACCATGCATATTTTGGCATTATATTAATGTTGACGAAGTAAGTTGAATCACTCTCAAAAAATTAGTACAAAGTGCGATGGAATTATTACAAATTGCGACAGCTTAGTTTATTTCAAAGTGCGATGGACTGTTATTACAAATTGCGACAGCTTTTTTATTACAAAGTGCTACACAGTTTATTACAAATTGCGACAGGTATTACAAAGTGCGATGGATTTATTACAAATTGCGACAGGTATTACAAAGTGCGATGATTATTACAAATTGCGACAGTACACACCATGCCAGTTGTCAAATCTCAGCCAAAGCTTGAGAAAAAATGTGCCTTTTCAAAACTCTCAGGATTCGTGTGATCATGCAGGCCTGAATTAAACAGCTTCGGTAATCTTCCCGGGGGGGCGGAAGGGGGGTAATCCCATACATTACCTATTCGGGTATGTAGGGCGAATTCTAGAACGGGGTATTAATTTTAGGGGAATTCTTTTTTAGAACGGGGTGCCAATTTGGAGTCTCGGGCGGCACATACCCACCCAAAAAAAACCCAAGTGCCCCCCCCCCCAACGGGATAATCGCTAAGCCGTCCAGTGAAGTACGTAGGCAAGTAGAAATTTCGATTACTTGAGCATTTAATTCTTTTGCCTTTTGCAAACGGGAAACAAGGCTTGTAAGATCGTGATCATGAAGCCGAACATAAATTCAGTGTAAAAACTTGAACAAAATCTGTGTAAATTTGGGAATTCACGCACCATTGATAATAGAGAGTAACCATTTGTCCGTGGACTTTTCTGTCTACACCTATTAATTGCGAAAACTATTTTTGACAAAGGTCTACTTCTTAAGTACTTACGTATTGCACGCAGTTGGTAAGTGAGAAACTGACAAATGTAGTTGCACTTTCTAGCGTGGCTCATTTTATAGCACAATTAAATCATGCTGCGGGCCACG